CGTGGGGAGGGGACCTTGCTGGTGCAGGGAGTCTGGGGACTAATCTACAGTCTCCTTAGGTCCCTGGCCACTCCCATGCTCACCCAATAGCCACCCAGGCCAGTGCGCGTGCAGTCGGTTTGCACGTCCCTCAGGAAGGGCAGGTGGTAGTACTTGGCGAACAGCAGCAGGATGACGCCCTGCATCCGCACAGTACTCACCTATGGTGGGAGACGACTTGCCTGAGGGACAGGACATAACCCCAGCTTCCCGGCCCTCACCTTTTCCTGTCCTTCAGATCTGCTCCTCCATCCTCCCATTTCACAGACCCGGCAACAGAGGCCCAGCGGACCTCACAGTGAGTCAAGGCAGATCTCAAGCCAGGAATGCAGGGGTTTCCGCCCACCCAGGAGCTGAGGGAGGCGTTACCAGCACGAAGTTGAAGGGCGCCAGCGCATCCATGAAGAGCTCGCTCCATTGGTCTGTGAAGAGCGCGTCCTTGAGCCTCTTGTTGATCATGGAGTTTACTTCCTGCAGCCTGGGAGATGGGATGAGGTGGTTGTGGGGATGGGGGGCACTCTAGGAGTCCCTCCCGTGGGCGAGGGTCCCAGAGGCACAAGAGTTTGGGGAGGGGGTCCACGAGCCCTGCCCCCTCACCCTATGGCGATCATGTCTGCCCTGTCACTGTCATCGCCGCCACTGCCCAGGTGGAGGAGGGACATGACGTCATCAGGGGGCATGGCGGTGCCCACGTTCCACGTGACCACAGTGATCCTGGGGGTGCCAGTATAGGAGGGGTTACTGCTGGGCACCACTTCCTCATCCTCAATCTCCCACCCACAGGTCTCTTTCTGGGGAAATAAACTGAGGCAGGTGTGGGCGTAAGCCCTCAGAAGGATCCACAGTGGGCCTAGTAACCCTCCTACCAGACTCTCCCAGGGAGATCAATTGAGGCAGGGGTGGGCATGTCCCTTAGAAAGGGATGCTGTCTGTCTTCTGAGGGTCGCAGAGTGGGCCCAGCACCCCCAAGGACTTTTCCTTAGGGAGGTAAACTAGAGCAGAGTAGGGCAAGCCACCTGGAAAGATGGCTGGTCTCAGAGCTCAAGCCCCAGCCATCTTGCTTGAGAGAGGGGCCCCTCACCAGAAGCCGGGGTCGCTCTTGCAGGTAGGCTGAGCTGACCAAGAAGATGATGATGACGAGGTGGATGTAGAAAGGGAGGTGGTGACTGGGGCTGGGATTTCTTGGGGCCGAAGGCTGGGGCTTAGGCGCCCACCAGACTCTGCACCCTGGGTGCCAGGCCTGGGGAGGGCTATCTCAGGGGCTGGGGGGACACAAGGGGAGTGGTTGGGAGAGCGACTGGGGGAGCGGCTGGGAGACCGGGGTGGCTTGGGCAGAGGTGGGGGCACGGCCTGGGCTGAGGGGACCCCTGGCCTAAAGGTGGGGGACAGAAGTCCTGGGGAACGAGTGCCAGGCTCCGGAGGGCCCTGGCCCACATCCAAGGGCAGGGTCTGGGGTGGCCGAGGCAGGACAAGATCCTCAGGGCTGCTTCTGGGGGCCTCAGGCCGGGCTCTGAAGGAGGGAGAGATCCGGGGGTCTGGGGGAGCTTGGATCAAGGATGGGGTGCCTGCAGGACTGGGTGCCTGAACCAGAGGCTGGAGATACCCGTCAGAAGAGGGGAGAGGTCTAGGGGCTGGGGCATCCCTCTCTTTAGCTGGTGTTCGTCCCACAGAGGCCAGGGCTGATGCCATGGATGCTGGAGCCAGGATCTGTTCCTGAGAGGGCGACAGAACTGGACTGGGCACTGGAGAAGAGTTGGAGGGAGGCTGTGGAGGCTTCTCCTCAGACACCAGGGCCAGGTTCAGGCCTGAAGTGCCCAGTGCTGGCTTGGGTCCCACGGAGGCAGGTGGCACCTGCTTCTGGTCCCTGGATGTTGGAGCTGGCCTGGGCCCCAGGGTCGCTGGGGGCAGTCTCGGCCTGGCTGAGGCTGGCATCACCAGCTGCCCCAGGGATGTCAGAGCCAGGACTGAACCTGAAGTTGTTGGAGGAAGCTTCGGCCCAGCAGAGGCAGACATCACCAACTGGCCCACAGACGTTGGAGCCAGGCTGGAGCTGCAGCAGGCGGGAGCTGTTTTCTGCCCTCCAGGGGTAGATAGTGAAGCCAGGATAGATTGAGGAGACTCCAGAGCCAGCCTTGTCCCCTCTGAGGAAGGTGGCATAGTGGCTCGTGGCCCCATAGGTACCGGAGCCATCCTTGATTCCAAGGGTACTGGGGCTGCATTCTCCTTGGCTGGGAGCTGAAAACTTGAGTCCACCTTGTAGAGGACAAGTTAAAGACACAGGGTAACCCTAACCAGGGGCTTGGGCCCCAACTTCCATGTAGACCCCAGCAGACTCCATCTAGCTAAGAAAGGTACATCTTTCCAAAGAAGTCTTTCCTAATTTCTCACTTAGATCCATTCTGCTGCAAATCAGCTTCTCTTTGCGGGGAAACAGGACACAGAACCTTATCCCCTCCCTCAAGTATGATATCTTTTTAGAGGTGGGGAAACTAAGGTCCCCCTGACCCAACTGAGGCAGAGCGTGAGCCTGAACCTTGCTGGCTGGCAACCTCACATTGGCCACCCTGGAGTGTTGGGTGGCTGGAGTCAACTTCCCTGGGCAAACTCACTGCAGTCTTTGCTGCTCCCCTGGTCAAGGGCTACTGACCCGACACCCCACATCTGCCCACTCTGGACACCCTAGGTCCAGCCTGTTCAATACCCCTCCCTTTCTCCACTGTTTCCAGGAACCCTCAGGTTCTCTCCACCAAACACTCCAAACCTTGGTCACAGCCTTCTCTGTCCTCATCCATTCCCAGAGCTCCATGAGGGAGCAAGAACCTGGGGATGAGAATGGCCACATCTATTCTAAATCTAGCTCTGTGTGACCTTAGGCAAGCACCTCTCTGTCCAGGGCCTCAGTTTCCCTGTCTGTAAAGCAAAGGATCCTGATGAAGGGTCCCTGGCCACACCCAGTTCCTGGGAAACTTTGGTCTCATATTTTCTGCAATTTATGAGTGTAACATTTGCTGGGATTTAATTGGAGCCTTATGGAATAGTCTGTCCTCACCAAGTGTGATTCTAACATTCAGAGCAATTCCAGATTCTGTTGATTCTGGCATCACACCTCTCTGTGCCCAGATTATACCCTTTTATCCTCTTCACCCTCTCCCCACATATAAGAACAGATAAGCAGGTATCCTTTTTGTCCAGTAGATAGACTGGGGGGCATGGGATCTTCTCACCCTTTCCCATCTGTCCCTTTTTTCTGATACCCCTGTCTCCAGAAGACAAGAGAAAGTGTCCTTTGCCAAGGAGGGCAGAAGAAGGTTTACGCTTGCCCTGGTGTGGCCCCATCCCTTCCTCCAGAGATGCAGTCTGTCTGCGTCCCGTGTCCTTCTCGGTTCAGAGAACCTGAAACTCTGCCTCCACTTCCCTCCCCAAACTCAGCTCTTTAAGGCTTCATTTTGGGCATCCTCCGTGGTTCCAAGTGTCCTACTCTGCATCCCCCCACACCAACCACCATACCGCCTCCAGCACTGACAACTTAGACATCCAAGATGTCACAGTTTTAGTCTTCGAGGACAAGCCTCCCCATTTTGCATTGGCTCAGAGAAGACAAGCAACTTGCCCAAGGTCACACAGCAAAGCTGGAGCCCAGCTGGGTCCCCTAACACCCCGTTCAGTCTTCTCCTGGGGTCTCTTGGAGATAGCTAACTCCATTTCTCTCCGAGTGTCCCATCACTGCCCACTCAGGCCCCAGGGTGCCCTGTTCTCCCAACCCTGCTTGGTGGGCAGAGGAGAGTTCCAGCCCCTGAGGCAGGGGCACCAAGGTGCCTGTAGTTTGGTGGTGGTAGTGGTGGGGGGGTTGGGACCAATGATCAGAAATGGGGAGGCTAGGTTTTAGGGCTCTTACCTTAGAGGGTACTCCATGGGGCATAGGCAAGGGGCCCAGGCCAGCCCGGGTCCCTGGCCTTTTGCTGGTACTGCTGCTGTGGCTCTCCATGTCTGCAGCCCCCAGCAGCCAGGGCTCCCTCGGGCTCTGGCTCCAGCTCCTCCGCTCCCGGGAACCAGTGATGTCATCAGCCGTTTCAACCTGCTGAGAATTTAAAGGCACAGGCACCCATGTTCCAACCTAGAGGTGGCCAGGGCAAGGTGGTCTACCCCTAAGAATCCTTCAAGCTGGCTTCTGAGGCTGAAATAGCCATGGGAGTGTGGCGAAGTGTGCCTATTGGCTTGGCCTGGGGCCCAACTGGCAGCATGGAGAAAGCTGTCTGTCTGCACTGCCCCCAGCCCAGTAGGCCTGGCTGGCCCTTGCTCAAGGGTGGGGCATTGATACACCTGAGGGTAAGGTAGAGACAAGCAGCTCAGAGGTCAATACCCTCTTCAGGGCCTCAGGGACACCTGAGTCCCTGCCCTGATCCTGTGACCTTCCTGATGCCTTGCCAGCTCAGGACTTGCCTTGGCCCCCACCCTTGCCCCATTTTCAGGCCTTGGCGCCTGCCCCCTGCCTGGCTCTATCCTTCCCAAACAGGAGCCAGACACTCAGGCTCCAGCTACTGGAGTCCTTTCCCATCTCATACCCAGCGCTGGCCCCTCCTCTTCTGCAAGACACCTCCCTGCCTGCCCTAGGATGTCCCCACAACCAGGCCCATCCCAGCCCAAGTCCTCTTAGCTTTCCTTTCTCCTGTACTCAGTGGGTGTAGTTTGGGTGGGGGACAAGTTCAAGGTCACCTGGTAAGCTGGGGAGGTCTCCTGAGTTTCCATGAAGAAATGGAGTGCTCTTGGTGACTAAAGACTAGTAGGAGCTAATTGAGGTATTTGGAAGAAGAGGTGGAGAAGGGCCAGCAATTGAAGAACAGACTGGCAGGAAGGTCAAAAACAGGCGGGGAGCTCGTTTGGCCAAGACCCAGCACCGGACCTGGTCTCTAGTAGGCCTAGGGAAGTGTTTGCTGAATGAATGAATTAATAAATGAGAAGAGTAAATAAGTAACAGGTTTCAGGGATGGCAATGGATCCAGAATTGCTGGATTGCTTAGAGTAATCTTACTTAGTTTAGGCAAAAAATATTCTGAATTTTGTGCCCAGAGATACCTGTTGGTCAACAGTCACCTCGTAGGCCTGTGTGGTCTGCTACATGTAAGTCATGTAGACAGATGCCTCATTCACTTCCTCTGGATGGGCTTCTCATCTCTGCTTGATTCTCTCTGGGTCTAGTCTGTGTGTCTGGGCCGTTAACTCTGTGAGGCTGGCATATGCAGAAGGGGAGACCCATATCATATTAGGATCCCGAGATTGAAAGGTTTTTGGATGGTGATGATGGAGGTGATGACGGTGGTGATGGGGGAGGAGACTGCAGTGGTGGAGATAATGATGTATGTAATTATGATGATGGGGGTTCAGGGCTGACAGCGATGGGGGAGGTAGTAGAGGTGAGGGTGATGGCAATGGAAGAGGTGATAACAAAAGTACAGATGTTGATGGTGGTAGAGGGAGTAGAATGAAGGGGTGGTGGTAATTGTGATGAGGGTGATAGTAAAAGTGGAGGAGAGATGGGGCAGAAGAGATGGTGAGGTGTTATATTGGCGGAAGAAGAGGTGGTGGTGGAGTTGGAGGTGAAGGTCGGGATGGCAGTGAAGGAGGAGGTGAGAGATGTGGTAACGGTGTGCATACCACCAGAGAGGAAAGAAAAGTCTGAACTTACCCTGTCCAGCCCTATGAGTCCTTTTTAACAGATGAGAAAACTGAGACACCTCCTCGCCCCGCCAGAGTACCTGGCTTCTGGTGCATTCCTGGAAGAGGTGGGGGCCAGATCCAGGTCCCTGGGACCGTCCATCGGGGCTGGGACAAGGGCATCAATGCCCTTCGGAAGCCAGGCGAATGTCATGCAAATGAGTGTGCAGAGGGCTCCTGTGCCCCAATGGGCAGCCCAGGATCTCGAATCATCTCCCCTCACTGAGCTCAAACCCTGCAGGGAACTTTGTTTTTGGCCCTGCCACTGACTTACTTGGGAAAGTCACTCAGATTCCTGATTCGTAAAAGGAAGATAAAAACAGTAGATACCTCTTAAGGTTGCTGTGAAGATTCAACAAGATAATACATATGGAGTGTTCAGCACAGAGTCTGGCACTAGTAAGTTCTCAGTAATGGAAGCTGCTCTAGAGTTCTCATAATCAATATCATCATCATCACCATCATCGTTATCTCCAACCTGCCCATTTGGTGGATACTGAAACTGAGGCCCAGTGTAGTTGTATTCCTGAGGGGGAGGGGAAGGGGCTTTGAGCCCCAGACATGGCCTTATCAGAGGAAGGGGGTGGGGGGCGGACTCTAGCTGAGAAAAGAGTAGGTTAAGAGCTATATTTGAGCTCCTGGAGTGATGACTAAGGAGGTTGATAACAGGCTCTGGGGCTCAGGGCGGCAGGCCGGGGGCAGCTGCCAGGGAGAACCGCCCCCCTGCTGGTTCGCTCCCTTTCCTCACCCCAGGGGGTGGGACGGATACTGAGGCACAGAGTACAGCTTGTCCAGCCCCCTTCTGGAAACTCAGTGCTACCCTTCAGGCTGTTTGGGTCAGGAATAGGAAAGGACAGAGCTGGTGGTTGGCAGGTTCTCTGTTACTCTCCATAGTAACCATGGGAGGTTGGTAGCAAGATCCCCATTTGACAGAGGAAGACACTGAGGCCCAGAGATTGCACAGCCAGTAGGGGACAGAATGGGGTTCCCAGGGAGATAGTGGATAATTTTTCTACGCAGAGGTGACCCCTGAACCTTTCCTTTGAAGGAGAGTCTGTTGCCACATTGAAAAGAGGAGAAATGCCTTGAGAAGCAGAGAGAGCAGCAGGTACAAAGGTATGGAGTGTGGAAGGTTCCAGCTGTGAAAGGATGAACAACCTGCACATACACCCTCATGGCCCTTTGACTCAGAATAATACAACATGAGCTGGTATATACGTCTTCCTCTTTCCTCATCTTCTTCCTCGATCTGCCTCCCAAGGGCTCCTGCAAATGATAATGGCAAAGAAGGGTCTGTCCTCTCTTTTGGTTCCAGCTGTGAAAGGATGAACAACCTGCACATATACCCTCATGGCCCTTTGACTCAGAGTAATACAACATGAACTGGTATATACGTCTTCCTCTTTCCTCACCTTCTTCCTCGATCTGCCTGCCTCCCAAGGGCTCCTGCAAAGAAGGGTCTGTCCTCTCTTTCGGGTGCCCAGGGAGATAGTGGATAATTTTTCTACGCAGAGGTGACCCCTGAACCTTTCCTTTGAAGGAGAGTCTGTTGCCACATTGAAAAGAGGAGAAATGCCTTGAGAAGCAGAGAGAGCAGCAGGTACAAAGGTATGGAGTGTGGAAGGTTCCAGCTGTGAAAGGATGAACAACCTGCACATACACCCTCATGGCCCTTTGACTCAGAATAATACAACATGAGCTGGTATATACGTCTTCCTCTTTCCTCATCTTCTTCCTCGATCTGCCTCCCAAGGGCTCCTGCAAATGATAATGGCAAAGAAGGGTCTGTCCTCTCTTTTGCTTCCCAGTCACCCTGACCCAGGCCCACCATGAGGCTTGAAGTCACACTGTGGCCACTATCTGAGAAATGTCTCGAGATGTAGAAGGTGCCACAGGTATTGGGGAAAGTGGAAAAGGTAAGCATTAGGGAGGGCTTCCCAGAAGAGAAAATATACAGGGCATGCAGGAGCATTTCTCCTCCCAAAATTTCACTCCATGGTTCTTTATGGGTACAGTGTTATATCACTGTCCTCTTATTCTCACCCTCTGGGGCATGAATCATCTTTACCTTCCATTTTGTCCCTCAGGAAATGGGCTCAAGGAGGAGGAGTGACTTTCTCAAGGTCACACAGCTGGGGCTGCGCTCAGGCATACCCCCCTCCCTCTCCTAAGCTCCCCCTCCTCCCAGGCATCCTGGCACCCGCTGTCAGCTGCTCTAAAGTGAGTGGCTATTTTTATTCTGGTGCGAGGGGATCTCGGGCAGCAGAGCCATGTAGGTTAGAAGGCTCTAGGACACATGGCTTCAGCAGGCAAGGAGAGGCTTACTGCAGGGACATAAGCTTGCCTGGAGGCTCTCATTTCTTCCAGGTCGACCTGCTCTGGGCTCCCATGTCTTAAGAAATTTTTTTTTGGAGCTCAGAACAGAGCATAGAGCCAGACTAAACCCTGGCCCTGATCCCAGATCCAATTTGAGCCTAAATTTTGGTGTTAACTGAGCCCTGATCCCATGCCAAGACAGCCTCTACTTCAGCTCTAGGTTGGACCCGACCATCGCCTTAGATTGAGCCCTGACTCTAGTTACCAATGAGCCTGATCCAAGCCTTGCTAAGGCTGATCCCAATTTGAGGCCTCAATTCTGGACCTAGATTGAGCCCAAATAGTAGCCTAATACTGAGTCATAGTCACAGACTGAACTCTAATCCTAGTTTAGACAAACCCTTGATTTTATATTGAGCCCTAACCCCAAGTTTAGACTGAGCTCCAAGTCTAGTCATTAACTAAACCCTGAGTCTGGTGGCAGACTGAGCCCTGAGCCTAATCCATTGACTGAAACCTGACTTCAAACTGAGCTCTGAACCTGGGTTACACAGCTCTGGTCAAACATTGACCCCTCACCTCAGACTGCATTGAACCTGGTCAAAGGCTGAGCACTAAGCATAGTCATCGACTGAGCCTTGATCCTGTCACAGAATGAGTCCTAAGCCCAATCGTTGACTGAGCCCCAACTCCAGCCCAAGACTCAGTTCTAACCTTGACCTTAGGCTAATGGCTGACTCTGACCCTGACTGAGCCTGACCCCATCACAGACTAAACTCCAAACTCAGCCCCACTTGAGGAAACCTGCTGGCAGATTACAAACTGCCACATAAGAGAATGGATTATGAGCAAAGATTGTTCTGGGAGGTCCTGGGCCTCCCATGGCTGCTGATGCCAGAATGTTCCCGGTAGTGTTGTGGCTAGTGTCTCTACCGCTGGTTCCACTGGCTGGCTAGTCAACCCTCAGCAGCCCAGGTTGTGGCCCCTCCAGGCTGCAGCGTCCAGGTTAATGCAATGAGAGTGGTTTGGTGGCATCTATCCAGTGAACAACATGGGCGCATAGGGCTCTGAGGTTTTGTTCTGTCAGCAAAAAAACCACAGGCTCCATGGGGCCTCTAGCTTCAGCCACTCTGAGGCCCTTGCTGGGTAGGGGGTAGGGTAGAGGGAGATCATGGCATATGTCCAGTCATTTATGTAAACAAAGTTTACTATCTGTGTTTAAGTAATAGATATTTATTATAGAAAATACAGAAAAAGCGTAAAAAAGAAAAACATTCACCTATAATTTTATCTACCAAGAAATGACCATTTTGACTTCTTGAGTTGTTTCCTTCTAGATTTGGTTTTTGGTCTAGGCATATATATTTACATATACATATTTCATAAAATAAGTTGCAGCCCACATCCTTGACAGGCTTCAGGAATGAGTCTCAATTGGTTAAGCCAATACATAGTTCCCATTCCTCCAGCCACATGACTGGTCAAGTGAGATATAAGGAGGCTTTTGCTGAGAGCTTTTGGGAAAGAAAGCTTCTTTTCTCTTGTGAGAGGTTACCAAAAAAGATGATTTCCCCTTGATTAGATGTGAATGAAGAAGTCTATGGTCCTGGTTAGTGCTGGCAGCTGTCTTGACACCATGTAGGTAACTAATCTAATGATAAGCTGACACTATGGAAAGAAAATGGAGAGATCAGGTAACTTTGTCACCTGGATCAAACCTCACCTAAAGTCCTCCCTGCCATTGGACTTTTTGTTATTTGAGCCAACAGATTCTCTTTATTGTTTAAGTCAGTTTAACTTGGGGTTTCTGTGACTCGAAGCCCAGAGCATCACAACTCCCAACTGATATTACCGTTTCATAGCATTTTTTTTTTGTATTTTATACCACAACAATGAACATTCTCCATGTCATTCAGCACTATGCTACATCATTTTAAATAATTGCATGTTTTTTTTATCCTATGGAGGTATCATCATTTATTTGATTCATCCTCCTGATGTGACATATTTAGATTGTATCTCCAGTTTTTCACCATGATAAATAAGCTTGACTTAACAACTGGTCAGTCCCCTCTAATGATTAGTTCGGGTCTGAAAAGTAGAATGACTGGATCAAATAAATGTTTTTAGGATTTTGATTTATTGAGTCAAAATTGCTCTTCAGAAAGCTTGGATGAATTCACACTCCCACAGCAGTACATAGAGTGTTAGACTTAGCCTACTGTGTCAATAGTCTGGACAGAAACAATTATATTTACAGTGTCCTCCTGTATTTATAATGAATGGATATTAAATAACAGCTCTAAGCCTATTATTATTATATCTTTACAATCAAGTCAGTGAATGGAAGGTAGCAGGGTATGAGCAAGGGCTCAGTGCAGACTTGATATTCATTAGGCTCAGTGTCTAGGGCCCATAATACTTTTAAGGGTTCACAAAAATGTTTTAATTTTAATTTCTTTTGAAATCAGAAGAAAAAATAAATACATAATAATGAATTCAACTTGGATTATACATTTTTTAAAAATCAAAGTAGTTGTAAAATCCAACTTTTAATACGTTTTCTTAATGAAGGAAGGGGCCTAGAAAGGCAAAAACGCCTAGGGTCCATGAAAGTCACAATGCAACCTTGATTTGATATTGAGAAGGATTCTAAGTTCTAGTCCAGATTTAGTGGTAAAGAACACCGTGCACCGTGATCAATTTACTTAGTCGGCTTTGGGCTTGAACAGGGAAGGTGGCATCCTGATTTTGTCATCTTTCGTTTCATGAAAGACCTTTCAAATTCCAGATTCACAACTTAAACATTTTTTATCTTTCTGGGCCTATTTCCTAACCTGAAAAATGGAGTTCATAGGACCTTTATGAAGTAAGGAATGAAATAATGAAAACTTAACACTATGTCAGATACTGTGCTAAGACACTTTGTGGGTATTAACTCTTTTATCCTCCCAGCTCCTATGGAGTATGTAATATTCCTATTGCCACAATGTGTGCTCCAGGGAATTAAAACCCTAATCGAAATTTCTTCCAGAGAGATTAAGAAACATAAATAAGAATTCCCCAGATCTGTTTCTCCATCTTGAAGTGGAGTGTCTGGCCCAGAAACTCTCGTGTCCGTCTGCACCCCTCCAGCGCCCCCTGCAGGAGTGAGGTGGCACTGTCTGGCCTCATAGTGCCGGAGCGTTCACGCTTAGTAGAGGAAGCGTGTACGCTCACGCGACTGGGAAAGTAAGGGCCTGAGGGCCAGAAAAGGGCCCGAATCCCGCTGGAAGCTAGCGGACGGCATCTTCCCTGCAAGCCCTTGGGCGGAGACAAGGAACTGGGGGCGTGGTCCCAGGCTGGGTGGGGCCTCGCACGGGGGCGGGGCCAGCCTGCGGGCCCAGACGTGGCGCAGAGGCCGGGTGCTTCATTTCTAGCTTGCGGATCTTTTGCGTCCCGGTTCCGATGCGCCTCTCGCTGCCTCCACCACCCCTGCTGCTGCTTTTCGCGGCACTCGCCGCCGCTACCACCACCTTCCGGCCCGACTGGAACCGTCTGCACCGCCTGGCCCGAGGCCGGGTGGAGGTGAGTGCGCTGGTCCTCTAGCCTGGGGACCACCGTCCCCGAGCCCTGCGGCCCCTTAGCCTAGAACCAGTGCCCGCTCTGGCCCCAAGACCCTCCTGACTCCCAAGTCTCCATCGGCTCCGGGACCATCCTTCCTACGCCCCAGCCACAGGAAGCACCCACCATGGAAGTCCGAGACGCTTGATCTTGTGGCCTGGAAATCCGAACTCCTCCCTGGCTCCCATCCGATCCTACAGTGGGCCCCCAGACACATCGACCCTGTTCCCTAAATCTCCTGGCCTATGACTCTCCCAAACCTGTCCTCTGGAGCCCAGCTTCCCATCCCCCCATTGCTTCACTTCTTCCTGGAATTCCTCCCCAACCCCAGTTCCAAATGGTCTCTCTCCCTTTGCCTGGGGATGGGATGACTTTCTGGGTGCCACCCCCACCATACAGGAGCCAGGGGGGAGGGGGCTCGGAACTGCATTAACAATACTTACTCCACAGCAGCCCACAACCCATCTTCGCTCCCCTCCTAGAGGAAATTTCCTGCCAGAGTCCCTGTCTTGCTATGTGATTTGGATCATCACAGCCCGTCTCTGGGCCTTAGTTGGCTGTCTGACAA